AAGGACAAGATAAGACACTGGATGGTTATGTGTTTCAGTGGCACGGGTCTCACCCAGCATGCACAAGATCAAACTCCAGCGCAGGAAGTTAAAAACAAAACAAAACGAAAAACTTGCTAACTATTAGACAGCTAGTCAGTGACAGAGCAAAGTCAGAAAGTTAGCTTTTCTATCTCTGGAATCACCTCCAACTAGCACTTAGCTAGCTTCTCTGTTAGCAAAAGAATCTGAACACCAAGCTTGAGGCCTCGTTTAAAGCCAATTAAACCAATTAAATGCATCTCAAATTATTATACTCTTGACTTTATTTATTCTGTATTCTGAGACAGGGTCTTACTTATGTAGCCCAGGCTCCCCTTGAATTTAATACTCCTGCCTCTGGCTCCCCTCTCCCTGACTTCTTAAATAAAAAAGCTTAAATATGATTTAGAATACTTATTATTTCTGGGGTGTTTGTTTCTAAACAGAGCTTCATGTATCCCAAGCTGGCTTCCAACTCTGTGTAGCCAAGGATGATCTGGAACTGTGACCCTCCTACCTCTACCTCTCGAATGCTAATTACAGACATGCTCCAACACTCAGTTCATACAGTGCTGGGCACTGAACCCAGAGCTGTGTACACTGGGCAAACACTTCACTAACTGAACTAACTATATCTTAGCTGTTTATCATTTCTGAGATAGGCTTTTATGAGGCTAGCTTTACACTCTCCATCCTCCTGTCTCTGGTCCTGAGTGTTAAGTACAGGTGCGTGCTACTGTGCCAGGCTAATTTGACCTTTTTAGTTTTGGACATCTCAGAATGCTACAGCACTTGAATGGGGCAAGCAGGAGGATCAGGAGTTCAGTCATCCTCAGCTACATAGAGGATTCCAGGCCAGCCAGAGCTACATGAGACTCTCTCTCAAGACAAAACAACAGTAATACTTTCGGGATGGCTGCATTATCATTGGAGTGTGATTTATTGTATTTCTGGCCTTGGCTTATGAGTATTTATACAGGCTGTAATGGGGTGTTGGCCCCGAACCCACCCTTCTGTATACTTGCCTCTAGTGCCCATCCAACTTATCTTTAATGGTCTGAGAGTCGACACCCACAGAATATGTAGTAGTCTTTAGAGCCAAAACAGTTTGGGCTCTTTTTGCATTAGTCATAAGCTAAGTCTGTAATTCCTGATCCTGCTTTAAAGTTAGGCAAGGCCATGTGCCACATTTTGACGGACGAAACATGAGTAAAAGTAACAGAACTGAAGCTGTAAAAGCTGGTACCCACTCGAACATCCACTAGTTCCCAAATGTCTCCATCCCTGAGCTAGTGTGACCCGGACGGTGTCTGTACACTGTGACAAATGGGTGGCATGCACAGGGAGTCAACTTTGGTTTTGTTAAGTCCCGAAGCTATCGAGACGTCTTTTACTCTTTAGCTTACTCTAAACTATGCTGACCAATACCTCTAATCCCTCAGTAAAGCTTCCTCTCATTTATTTGCATGTTTCATGACAAATATTTTGATTGCACAAAGGCTATTTTTATAGCTATCCTACTTCAAGGCTATTTTCTTTTTCTTTGAGGGGGTGGAGGTGGGGAGACAAGATCTCATATAGCCCAGGCTGGTCTCAAACTCCACAAACAGCTGAAGATTAGCTTGAACTTTTTTTTTTTTCTTAAAACGTTTCTCTCTCTTCTTGTTTGCCCACCAAACAGCACCCATGTGGCACTCAGAGGACAACTAGTAGAAACCAGTTATTTTCTTCTAACATGTGGGTGTTCCTGGAATCAAGCTCAGATCATGAGGTGTGGCAGCAAATGCTTTAACAACTCAGACATCTTCATTGGTTGACCTTCCTGCTTCCACCTCCAGAATGCTGGGATTACAGGTGTGCACTACCATGACCTATCTATGAAGTGCTGGCGATGGAACTGAGAGCCTCACAAAAAATGCTCTACACAAGCACACCACCCACCGCTCCACTGCCCTACCCCTGCCTCTTTTTTCTTTTAGTTAGAATAGTTTTTGAGTATACTGCAAGAGAGCAGTGACCAGTAATCACAGTGGACAGGAACAGTAGAGACAGTAACTACAGTATTACCTGCATAAAAACACTATTTTCTACATACAATACATATATATGCCAAGTACCTACGATGTAAAACACTGTGCCAGATGACGGAGAAGACAGTCCATGCCTTTAAAAGTACATCTAATGCTGTAAGTGGAAGAGACAATAAAAGAATTATGGCAAAAGAGCAAACTTCGAAGCCTGGAATCAGGTGACCCCCATCTCTAATCCCAGCACTGCAGAAGTGAGGGGACAGGAAGGTTCTGAGTTCAAGGTCATCCTCAGCTACAACACTGAGTTTTGAGGCCGACCTGGGCTGCACAAAGTCCTATTTAAAAAGGAAAAAAAGAATTCAAGATCAGCCTGGGCTAGACAAGATATTGCCTCAAAAATCACCAAACAATAGCTGGGCACGGTGGCGCATAGCTTTAATCTCAGAACTCAGGAGGCAGAGGCAGGAGGATCTCTGTGATCTACAATTGTAAAAGTTCCAGGATAGCCAGGACTTTGTTACAGAGAGAAACCTTGTCTCAAAAAACAGAACAAGGGGGCTGGAGAGATGGCTCAGAGGTTAAGAGCACTGCTTGTTCTTCCAAAGGTCCTGAGTTCAATTTCCTCAGTTCAATTCCCAGCAACCACATGGTGGCTCACAACTATCTGTAATGAGACCTGGCACCCTCTTCTGGCCTGCAGGGATACATGCAGGCAGAATACTGTATACATAATAAATAAATAAATCTAAAAAAACAAAACAAAACAAAACAAAAACAAAAAAAAAACAGAACAAAAGAACCACCAAAAAAACACAACACATCCACACACAAGAAAACCAACCTAAAGCAAATACAAAAGTCAGAGCCCCAGCATTAGAGAGGCCGGCTCATTTAGGTGGGGAACAAAGTTCAAAAAGGCTTTACAGAGGAAGTGCCTTTTCAAATGGCCATAAAACAGCAGCCAGGGGCAAGGACTGAGAATGAAGGGGGTCGTTGAAGACCGAAAAAGCCAACATGTGCAAATACATTGGAGCTCAAACAAGAAAACACCAAGCCAAGTAGCCCTACCGATCTAGAAAATGTGATCTACCAAAGGGTATGGCAATCATCTGCTGAGGTCAGGCTACTCTGGGCCTAACTAAACAGTAAGGAGCCGCCGAAAGCCAGACAAGCGGCACACCCACGGCTGATGCTGAGAGAGGACTAACAGGAAGAAAGAAAAACATGTTTAGGGGACTCTGGGGGCAATTCCCAGGCACATCAGGCTCCAACTCAGTGTGATGACTCCAAGAACTGAAAGAAACCGAGGTCAGAGCAGTGTGGGGGCAGCCCTAGGGCCGGTCACCAACTGCACAAACCCAGTAAATGAAGGCAAGAAGCAGCTTTGACTACAGCTTTGTGGTGCCTGAGTCTAACTATAAAAGCCATAGTACAACCTAACGGCTACTTACTGAGTTCTTTCCTGGCAAGTCTAGGTCCACATGACCATGGGTCAAAGGTGCCTCTTTAGCCTGCCTTTTGATTTTAAGAGAGGGTCATTAGTAGCCTATGCTGGCCTCAAACTTATCATGTAGCCAGGGAGGACTTGGGACTTTTGATCCTCCTGTCTCCACCTCCAAAGTATGAGGATTCTAGGCGAGAGCGGCACCATACCTGTGATGTTGTTATGTGATGCTGAGGATCAAATGCGGGGCTCCTTGCATGCTAGATAAGGACTCCACCACCTGAACTACATCCCCAGCCCCAGCCTGCCTTTTGCAGAACCTCATGTCCCTCTCTTTTTCTACGAAGCCCTGGAACCCCCCAACCCCAACCCGGGGGCCCCCCCACACACTCACCATCCCCACTTTCCACTGGCTCACTTCTCCAAGCAGCCTTGCCACTCTCTGTGGTTCAACTCAAAACTCCAGTTCCCCCATAAAACCTTCCTCAAGTGCACTCACTTCTCCTCTTCTGGATTTCTCACGGCACCCACGGTCTTGGAATTCTAGAGGCCACACACCATGCTATCATTTGTGTCTGCTTCATTCACACAACTATCCTACAGAGGGCTAAGGGAACATGTTCCATATTTTAATTTAATTGCCTGAGTTTCCCTCAAGTCAACGCCTTGCACAAAACATGTATTCAGTAGACATCTGACTGTCTGGGCAAGCCAATTAGTCTCCGAGAACACACTCGCCTTGTTCCATCACTAATAACTTACTTGTCATGAGACAGACTTCAGACTTGTGAAATGGAGAAATTGGCACCACTTCATACTTCAAAATGTCCACTACTTAGGTTATATATGAAACCCCCATTTGGTCATACGGTTTTGCTCCAGCTTTTAATCCTCCCATCTTATTTTCTTCAGTCTTTTGAGGCTGGGTCTTGCTATGTGGCTCTTATTAACCAGGTATTATTCTATATAGTCCAGGCTGGCCTCTGAAGCAATCCTCCTGCTTCAGCTTCTGGGTGCTATTACAGGTGTGCACCTATGGACCTGGGCTACCGTTCCTCTGAGTCTTTAGTTGACAGTTCAGACACAACTGAAACTGTCATGATGTCCACTGTGCTACATCGCGGGAACTTAATTCGTGGTTTTCTACCTTCATAGTCCACTACCTACAGTACCAATAATTCAAAGGACCGCTCAGAAATGTGTTAAGTACTCTTTGCTTTCGGGGTTAACAGTGGTCTCCCGTCACCGGGTCACTTCCTCGGCTAATTGCAGTGACTCAGTTTTACCGTTTTCACTCCCTCCCCGTACGCGAGAAAAACAAACGAAAATGAGGTTTATTGAGGAATCATAAAAATGAGTGCTGTTGTAAAAAGGAGTCTAAATACATCAGTGGGACATCCTGATAACCGAATCTGCCGACCTCGCCAAGATTTTCTCTCACAAACAAGATCACCGAGCAGACAATGGAGACACACTCCAGAAGGAAAGGTAGCGAGAAGGCGTACTTTGACAAACTGACCCGGTCACTCCGAGGATCTGGCCCCGGGGAAGGCAGAGATGACAACCGCTACTCTTGCTGACTCCCGCTAGGCTTTCCCGGGACTTTCCTGCGCTCGTCCCACAGCGGGTCCCGGGTGACCGCGTCCCTCCTCTGCGCCCAGAGTCGCGCGCTCCGGGGCGCTGCACGCAGGTGACCTCTGCGCGCTCGGCCCCGCTGGCACGGCCCTTCTCCTCGGGCCTGGCCCCCTCCCGGGCCCGGGCTTCGGTCCCCAGCCCG